GGGCTGGAGATACAGGTTCAATTGGTGCTTGCCTTGCTCGCAGTTCAATCTCAGCACCACAAAAATTAATAATTAATCATCAAATCTTGTTTAAATAATATTTTAATACTATTTTGATAAGCTAACAGTATAGTGAATTATTTATTACTCATATGCTTTTTGCATGTGGATTAAAGACAAAAGGATACATATAACAAAGACAACTAATTTTTTGGCTTTGTCAACTCTTACAACCACAATCTCTGAAATACGTTGTATTCCATCCTAGCCTTTTTTGCTTTTCATGAGACAAGGTCTCTAGAATTCCCTATATAGACAAAGATGGCCTCACATTTGCTGCAGTCATCTTGCCTCTGCCTTCCAAGTTCCACCATGCCTAGCAGGTTGGTTGTTCTTTTGTTTTTTGTTTTTTACTTATTTTTATTTTGTGTATAAGTATTTCACTTACATGTAAGTGCACCACATGTGTACAGTGCCGACAGACATCAGAAAAGGGTGTTGGATCCCATGGAACTGGAGTTACAGATGGTTGTTAGCCTCTGGGTGGGTGCTGGGAACCTGGGTCCTCTGCAAGAGCAACCAGTGCTCTTAACTACTGAGCTATCTCTCCAACCCTGTGATTGTTTTTGAGAGAGTCTTGCTGTGTAGCCCAGACTGCCCTTGAACTCTCAGCTTAGCCTCCTGAGTACTTGGATTATAGGTGTGCACAATCACTCCCAAGTTCCATCCCAGTCGTTTTAAAAGAAGGCACCTGAAGCCCAGGGAAGTTAAATATTTTAAAGTATACAGACAGGCCAATAATAAGCAATTTTTATTGATACTAGTCTGTTCTTTCTTCCATTCTTTACTACAGGGTACTGTTTCCCAAGTTGTTATTGCTATAACAACTTTAGTTATTATAGGTTCCAATTATGAGCCTAGGGTTTGTTATACTTTGACTGTAGTGATTAAATACTATAGTTCAACTATACTAATTAAGCTTAAATTTTTTGTCGTGAGGACTGTTAAATCATATGTAGATGAAAAAGTCATATCTAAACTCAAATTGCCTTATATTAGGAAGAGTAAAGTTACTGTAAACAAACCCTAGCTGAGGAACTTGGGTGAATAATGCCTTTTAGGGGACTAGGCCTTATTAACGAAGTTTTAGGTAGTTTCCATTAAACTATATCAGAGTTTGTTTATGGTTTTCTAGGAGCCAAATAAATACCTATTTCTCCCACCCATACTCAGAGTCAGTAAAGGAAAAGAGAAAGGAGATTATGTCAAGTGGATACCAAAATGCCAATTTATTACTGATAGTGTTTAATAGGAGATAATAGTCAGGCATTCCAAAAATACCTATAACTACACCCTAAAGAAAGTCTTCTCTTCAGAGGAAAAGATATTTCTGCCTTGGCTATATTTGAATGATAAATGTCACTTTAAAATATACACTGGGTATGTAATGGTGCACACTTTTAATCCCAGCATTCAGGAGGCAGAGGAAGGCAGCTCTCTGTGAGTTAGAGGCCAAGCTTGGTCTACATAGCAAATTTCATTCTAGCCAGAGATACATAGTGAGACATTACCTCAAAAAATAAATAGATAGATAAATAAATTAGTGAGGTTTATTGTGTATTTATTAAGAAAGACAGCATGGGTTGGAGAGATGGCTCAGTAGTTAAGAGCACTTACTGCTCTTGCACTGAACCTAGGTTTGGTTCCCAGTGCCCATATTAGGTGGCTAACAACTTCCTCTAACTCCAGTTCCAGGAGATCTGATGCCCTCTAGCCTCCATAGGCACCTACACACACATGGTAAACATAAACTCACACAGGCACACACACATTCACATAAAAGATAAATTTTTAATCAAAAGAACAGTGATTAGAGAGAAAACTCATTTATTAATTCAGTAAAATTTTAGATAATTCTTTCACCTTGAAAGGAAACCTTAAAATATTTTTTAAAATATTTGAGTATGTCAGTATAATCTAGAGCAATACCTATTTCTGCTTCCTTGATAAGGCACATACTTTCTGATGATCAAAAATGTAATCTTTGGCAGGAAGTTTGTCAGGCTTTTGTCATACCTCTGCGGTCTTGTAAGCGTCCTTGGTTCTTGACTTCTTGTGTGTGTGCATCTTCGCATTGAATTATTTGATAATGCTGTGCCTGGTTTTGCCTACAGTGTAGAGCTTTGTTTCATAAAAGAAGTAAGCATACTGAGTCACAAACAAATATAATAAATGTTCACCTGTACATGGAAAGGTGCCAAGTAGAGAAAGCATGGAATGTGGCAGAAGACAGGAGGGGGTCAGCCACCTGGGAAAATGAAGAGGATTTCTCACAAATAGGAAAACATTAGAGATTGTCTTAAACTGGGCGGGAGGGTTCACACCCATAATTCCAACACTTGGGAGGTTAAGGCAGGAGGATTCTGAGTTAGAGGCCAGCCTGAGCTATAGAATGAGACTGCCTCAGATAACCAAGAAGGAAAAGAAATTGTCTTGAAAGATGAATATGTGATAACCATGAAGGAAAGGAGACATTCCCAGTTGAAAGAACTACTTAACATGGGATATGGGACCACATGGTCTAGGCCGGGTATGGTGGCACATGTCTTTAATCCTAGCATTTGGGGGGCAGAGGCAGGTCTACATACTGAGTTCCAGGCCAGCTGGGGCTACAGGGAGACCCTGTCTCAAAAAGACAAAAAAAAAAAAAAAAAAAAAAAAAAAAAAAAAAAAAAAGAGGAAATATGTGATCTGTCTCCTAATCTCCTATTATATTTGTATAGTCTTTCTTTTTTAATTTATTGTTTTTATGTATATGATGTATTGCCTGCATATAAGTGCACCTGTGTCATGCAGTACCCACAGAGTTCACAAGAAGGTGTTGGAATTGAAGTTATGAATGGTTGTTAGCCACCATGTGGGTGCTGGGAATTGAACCCTGGTCCTCTGCAAGAGCAACCAGTACTTGTAACTGCTGAGCCATCTCTCCAGACCCCATACTCTTTCAGAAAGGCTTTTTTTTGAAATTTTGAAGAATGGCTTTTATCCTGTTTGTATTCTGACAAAAATCTTTTTTTTTTCTGTGCTAGGGATCAAATCCAGGACCTTTTGCATGCTAGGCAAGTGTTCTCTCACTGAGCCATATATATTTCCAGCCCAGAAATGTTCAGGTGTACAATCCAATGGCATCAAGGCATTTACAGTGTTGTACAACCATCACTACTATCTATCTCCTAAAGAGTTTGGGGGATATTTTTTGCTGTGTGTGTGTTTGTGTGTGTGTGTGTGTGTGTGTGTGTGTGGTGTTGTATATACATCCCTTCTATCTATCTCCTAGTGTGTTTGGTGTATTTTTTTTTGTGTGTGTGTGTTTGTGTGTGTGTGTGTGTGTGTGTGTGTGTGTGTGTGTGTGTGTACGCACGCCCATGATTTTGGGGAAGAGGGCTCGTGTGCCTTAGCATGTGTGTAGAGATCAGAGGACAACTTTGTGAAATTGGATCCTCTCCCCTTCCACTTTATGTGAGTTCTGGGGATTGAACCAAAGTCGCCAGGCTTACACAGACCTGCTCAGTCTTCTCTAGCCCCTCCTAAACTTTTACTATCCCAAAGAAAACTTCTCCCATTAGATACCAGTTCCCTGTTCTTTTCCCCCAACAGTAATTACCTCAGTCAGTTCTTTCTATCTCAATGAATTTTCCCAGGCCCATCATAAATAAAATCATATATATTTGTCATATAATAATTACTTGTAATTATATAATAATGGTAATTGAAATATTTGGCTTATTTTACTTACCATAATGTTTTCAACCCTCAGCCATGCTATAATATGCAGCCTTTTCTTTTCTTGACTTAACATTCCATTGTCAGCTCTAGATAGACAGACAGACAGACAGACATCACATTTTGTTTGGTGGACAATAGGGGTTGTTTCTCCCTATTGGCTGATGTGAGGAACACCACTATGAACATCAGTATTCAAGTACCTATTTGAGCTCCTGCAAAATACTGTTGGATATATACTTAAAAGTAGAGCCTCATGGGCTAGAGAGATGGCTCAGCGGTTAAGAGCACTGACTGCTCTTGCAGAGGACCCGGGTTCAATTCCCAGCACCCACATGGCGGCTACAAACTGTCTTTAACTCCACTTCCAGGGGAATCCAAAGCCCTCTTCTGACCTCCGCAGCATCACATGACATGGGTGCACTCATACATGCAGGCAATACACTCATACACATAAAAATAAATAAAATATATTTAAAATAAATTTTTTAAAAGTAGAGCTTCTGTATCATGAGGGTAATTAACTTTTTGAGGAAGCACCAATTTCTCACAAAATGTACGACTTATATTCCCACCAACACATGGAAGATTCCAGTGTCTCCACATCTTCTGCATTAGTTACTTTTCTCATTATTGTGACAAAACATCTGACAAAAGCAACTTAAGGGTGACTGTCCACATGATGTCCGTGGTCCAGAAGCAGACACAGGTGATCCACTTGCTTTCTCTTCATTCAGTCTGGGACCCCAGCCCATGAGATGGTTCTGTCCACGTTCAGATCTTCAGACCTTCACTTCAGTTAAAGCTTTCTGGAAACACCCTCACAAACATGTCCAGAAGTTTGTCTCCTAGGTGATTCTAAGTCTGTCAAGTTGATAGTCATAATTATCCATCACAGTTGCTAATATTGACTCTTAAAGTTTTGAAAATTTTTGTTCACCAGCGTAGACATTCCATAAGAACTATGGGGAATTTACATTCATATTATCATTACAATGAAACTAACCTGGTGCCCATTAGAAAAGTTGTATAAGCCAGCATCATAGAATATTGACTTTTGTCACACTGGTTATGTAGTATAGTGTTTTCATGGAAAGGCCTCTAAGGAAAGAAACTACTCTTACAAAGCCAGATTCTTAAGTATAAAATAAATTAAGAGGCATTTGTAATTTGTATGTCACTGTTCTTAGCAACACTGGTCTTCTCCTTTCCCACAGCTCCCTGTACAAGCAGCACGTTCTTTTGCCATAGCAACATGTGCATCAATAATTCTCTAGTCTGTAATGGTGTTCAAAACTGTGCATACCCTTGGGATGAGAATCACTGTAAAGGTAAGTCCAGTGCAAAAGTCAGCCTTTTTGAGAGAAGAGTAGGAGTTGCCTTTCACTAAGGCTTAAAATACCCTTTCCTATAGCTGTGCATAACATAGCTGCCTTAGCAGAAAGGTTGACACATAATAATACATTTTTAATGGAAAATAGGCCTCTGTGTTGTGATAAGAAGAAAAATTCTCTGAAAAAAAGCAGTTTTTGTTTGCAGAGTATATTTTTTAAGTTGTTCAAAGTACATATTCACATTTTATGCCCTTATTTTACTTTATTGTTTTTGAAATTTGTGTTGTAAACATACCTTATTTAGTTATCGTATCAAAATAACTTAGAGGCTAGCCTAAAGGATCTCTCTTTTTGAAAATTATATGGAAATATCACTTAATGAAAACCAACTAATACATTATTGAAGTGATATAAAAACAGTATCATTATAGAACTGCTTTCTTTTTCTTTTTTTCTCATCAAATTTCATATACTATCTTTCCAGCATATTCTCTGAACAGTAAATATGGCTGTGATAAGAGATATGTATAGCTTGATTGTCAGATCAACCTGAGAACTGAAATTTGTCTCTCTTTCACCTTCTCAAAAGTTGAACAGGTGAAGTAATTGGATGACCTCATTAAGTACTTGACATGCAAGTATTTTTTAGGTAGTCATCCCAAAACAGTAGACCATGGTGACATATCCAGATTGCTCAATCTGATCCTATTGTACTCCCCTCCCAGTGGCCCTCAGTAGAAAGACTGCAGATGTGTACCAACTCAGGAGTTAGTCACATCTGTCCTAGAGCAGAAAACTAAACTTGATAGAGCAAGAATATTCATTTTGATGAATTTTCTATATTAACATAATTTGCAAATTGTAGGCTGTCATGTACCTTCTGCGTGTAAAAGAACCAAGTACTTTTTTTCCTGTAATCTAGCTAGCTATATTGTGATTAGTTACTTGACTCGGAAATCATGATAATAGAATTGTTCTCTTTGTTTAAAAACCTAATCTTCAGTTCCATTGTCTCAAATGAATTTGACCTACATTTTTCTGACCTATGTTACCTAAAAACACCTTACCAATTTGTACTGGTATTCATATTAATGAATGATGAAAACCTTTACATTTCTCTTTCTTACAGAAAAGAAAAAGGCTGGGCTATTTGAACAAATCACTAAAACTCATGGAACAATTATTGGCATTACATCAGGGATTGTCTTGGTTCTTCTCATTATTTCTATTTTAGTACAAGTGAAACAGCCCCGAAAAAAAGTTATGGCTTGCAAAACAGCTTTTAATAAAACTGGGTTCCAAGAAGCATTTGATCCTCCTCATTATGAACTGTTTTCACTAAGGGAGAAAGAGATTTCCGCAGACCTGGCAGACTTGTCAGAGGAACTAGACAACTACCAGAAGATGCGGCGTTCCTCCACAGCCTCCCGGTGCATTCATGACCACCACTGTGGATCTCAAGCATCCAGTGTCAAACAAAGCAGGACCAACCTCAGTTCCATGGAACTTCCTTTCCGAAATGATTTTGCACAACCACAGCCAATGAAAACATTTAATAGCACCTTTAAAAAAAGCAGCTACACTTTCAAACAAGCGCATGAGTGCCCTGAACAGCAGGCTCTGGAAGACAGGGTGATGGAGGAAATTCCCTGTGAAATTTATGTCAGAGGTCGAGACGATTCTGCACAAGCATCCATATCCATCGACTTTTAATGTTCTTTTAAAAGAATCATTAAGTAATTGTATGCAGCCTACATAGCACTCATTTTGTGTCAGCAGCCAATTGTGTTCTGTCAAAACTAGAAAGACCTTCATAACCTATCATAATGGTGATGTTTTATTATCTCAGGCAATCTTTATATGTTAAACCAACCAAGGAACTTAGATGTATTCAGTGGAAAAAACGTCATCATCTGTTGCTTGGTATCTTGTCCACAAAGTACTGCCAGTTGAGTAGTAGCTGAAGGAGTGGTTGCGCTCAGCCAGGCTCAGCTGCCTAGTGGCATTAACAACGGGATGCTCTTCTTGTTGGTACAACCACATCAGTCTTTGATCCCACAGTAACCTTAAAGGCTTTTTCTTTACATTCCATTGTCTTTCTTTTTTTCTGAATTTGTTTTGTTTGCCTGTAGTTTTAGCGTTTCAGTTTCTACATAAGTAGATAATGTATCACTTAATTCAGTATAGACATTTATTTGTTCTTCAGTGTGTTAAAATATAGCTAATACCTAACAAGCGCCAGTTAAGACTCAGCGCTCTGTTTCATTCCTTCCTCACAACGTTCTGTACTGTTGCCTTTAATTACTCGATCTTTAGTCCTTATTTTCTGTAGGAAGTAGATGACATGAATTATCACTCATAAATCATATTTTGTCTTAGTTATACTAGAAAATGTCATAATCCTGGGATATATTACTGGTCATTAGTTATGACTGGAAAGTTGAGAAAGATCAAAAAGCTTGTAGAACCTTTGAAGTGATGGCCATTCAAACCAGTAATCTGGGTCATTGGACCCCTTGTGGGTAGGCCTATAACTATGATGACTAGCAGTGGTTCTCATCAGTCTTTATCCTTATTATTTTTTCAAAAAGATTTCTTTGTTCCCTTTGTATTGGTTTGTCTTTTGGCACATGGTAACACAGTTGGTGTGAGTTGAAAGAAATTCCTGAGAAACTGCAAGCCTTTAGATAGCATCTGCTTGGAACAGTGCATTTTTCTAGCTATTATCAAGAATAACAATTTCAACTTTTTTTTAAACTGCACTTTTGACCTTATGTTTTTTAAGGTATATAAAACAATAATTCATAAACATGATATCAAATTCATTGTTTTTTAGACTTTTGATATTATTTGATACTGTATAAATTTTATTAAATCAAGATTTAAGCCCTACAAGACAGATTTGAGTGTTCACATTAGTGTCTTTGTATATAAATGAGCTATGATGAGACTGCACACTATAATTTATTATGAAGACCTTGGTAATGGTAATGTGTACATAAGCTTTTTCTTTCCTTTGTTACTGTATTTAGTTTGTGATAAAAATTTTCACTATATGGTATTTATTACTCTACATCACTTAAGAAATCTTATATTAAAGTATACATTGTTACATGATCCTACAACTATATTATTTATACCAGGAAGACTGAATAAGGTATATATGGGAAGAAATCCCATATTTAAGGACGTCTAAATATAAATACACCGTTTAAGGACACCTAGATGTAGATACACCATTTAAAAGAGGTGCATTCCCATTTTCTATATTGTCCTAAATTCTAAATGAAACGAGAAGTACAAGTTTCACTAGATCTCATTAATTCTTTTAAATACTACATAGATACGATCTCTCAGATTAGTGAAAACTGACCTTAAATGTGATACACTTACTGCCTCAAAGTGTGTTCTCTGTATGACATTTTTATTCTTTTAAAGATTACATCCAGAAGATAGGAAAAGCTATACATAGTGTAACCAAAAACATTTGTTTGAATACCAGAAATTCCCGTTTTTAAAAGTAGAACTTGGAAAAGCACAAAAAAAACCTGTTAAGTATGGGGTTCAGTGAGCTAACCAGGGAAAGATTAGATAATCAAGTTCTTTCAGTAACTAAATTAAATAGGCATTTTATTAAGTAACGGCCAGCCAACATTTCAACAACATAATACTTAACATGACAACTTTGATCTCATGAGGAAATTAGCATATTTCCTATATAAAATTACATCCATTCTAAGAATGGGTGTTACACCCATCTTTAACTTATTTTTTAGAAAATATAGTATGCTTTCCTAGATTACTGATAGTCACTTGTAAGTATATATTTTTTTTATTTTAAAGCTTGTATCTCATTTTAAGGGGACTTAAAGAGACTTGCAAAGCACAAGCTTTTATAGAAAATATTGGGTGTTAAAACAGTGCAGAAACACGTGATCTCAAGCAACTCAAGTGAAGCTTGGACAGTCATTGGATTCTAAATTTTCTGGCGGCTAAAATGAAAGCTACTTTTCACAGTAGAAAACACATAAGCAGAGACTAAAGTGGACACCATACATTTTAGTAATGAAGGACATAAAATTTAGCCATTATACAATTTTTATACCCTACAGTATGAAACATGCCTTCTGACAGAAAATGCAAATCTGGGGGTGGTAAATATCAAGAAAACATTCTCCATCTATATGATATTACCATTGTTATATCCATCCCAAGCTTAACACAAGCTGTCAGCCCCCAAGTGGCCACAGATTTCAGCCTGCTCATCCTGCCACCTCAAAGACAGGAATCATGATGTTCCTTTTGGGGAGGAAGGATGGGCAACATAAATAGAGAACAAAAACCAAAGGATATTCACATTTCATATCAGAGAGTTAAGAGACTAACTTTGACTTACAGCACCTATTTCAGTATCTCTGTCATAGTTCATGTAATTGTTAAGCATTAAAATAACCTGTGTATTTTTATAGTTCTTGTTACTGCCTGATGAGAATACTTTGTTCCAGGAGTGTGTTAACTGATGAGAGAGGATGGGAAAAGCCTGGTTGTAGTTCCAGGAATAATTGTTAGACGACGCTCTCGTTTGGTGTGTGTTCCACTGTGTGTGTTCCTTGCAAGTACTAAAAGCAGTGTGCCTGGATCATACTGATTGGGAGCACAAGGAACTTTTCGGTTTTGCCAAGAAAGATTGCTCTAGTCTAGCTTTGTTAATGAGAAGACTACACTCCAAAAGGTGGAGCAACTCCCCGCGACACTTCTAACCGTGCCCTTCCTTGCTTCTTGCTCTCCCTGCTTCGCTTTTAGAAGTCACACAGTCCTAAAAACCAACCCACATGTTCCATGCAAAACTTGTTACTTATTCCTATCTAAAATGTAATTCTGTGACTTTTTAAACACTTGGTTCCCCTCTTGCCCCTTTTTTAAAATTTATGGAACACTGTTCTACAGTTTTTGTTACCAATCTTCCTCGGCACCTGCAGAGTCTGTACTTAACTGTGAATTCTTCATAAACATTGTTGGTTAGCAGTACACAGGGCTGATACCACAGAGAAAGCTTCAGTGCATTTGCTTTTGTGATCTCTTAAAAGCTAAAGGAAACAATGTACACTATAGAAATTAAACATTTGTGTGTTATATCTTGAGTTTTGAGAATGATTTGAGTCTGAGCTACTTATAAGAAACAGGTTGACCTGGGATTTTATTTTTAGCTTCCTGCACTGTTTCCTGTTTTGTATGCCTCTACTAGTAATTTGCTCTCCTTTATTCAGTTTTTAATGTACTTTTGATTATATTTCTGAGATTGGTTTAATGGCTTAAACTCACAAAGCTAATGACTAGGGTGCATGTTTAGTGGGTACTACCTATACATTTTTTAAGCAGTAGATTTTTATTAGAGACGAACTTCCAAATAATGTAAGAATTCTTATATGGTTAATCCAGATTTAGCACTTTAAAGAATTTAGCCCTTGAACTGGAAATAAAAACTCCTGTTTTGATTTTCTTGCCTCAATTTCTGACAGTGTGAAAATAGCTAAAAAACAAAAAGCCTCTTTGGGCTTCAACATTTTGTATGTCTTTCTAGGACAAAGTTGGCATTTCCTATCTAGCTTCCCATAGTTAAGATTTTTTGCTAACACACACACACACACACACACAAACAAAAAAAAAAACTAAAAAAGCTTTAAAAGAATAAGCTTTAAAAAAATAACCTTACCAGCTAGAGAAACAACTTAGCAGTTAAGAGGCCTTGTTGCTCCTCCAGAGGACCTGACTAGTTCCCCAGCCACCTGGAACTCCAGCTCCAAGGGATCCAACATTCTCCTCTGGCCTCCACAGGTCCCGTCCACAGGTACCCCTAGGTGTGGCATACATTCTTTGCTAGTCTGCTTTCTGTTGCTGGGATAAAACATTGACCAAAACCAACTTGAGGAGGAAAGGGTTTGTTTCATCTTATAGCTCACAGTCCATAATCAAGAGAAGCCAACATAAAGTCTCCAGGCAGGAACTGAAGCAGTGACCATAGGGGACAGAGTCTCTCTGTAGCCCCAGCTGGCCTAGAACTCACTATGTAGACCAAGCTGGCCTTGATCTCACAGAGACCTACCTGCCTTTGCCTCCTGTGTACTGGGATTAAAGGTGTGTGTCACCACACCTGACCCAATAAGCCTTGTTTAAGTTACACTTTTGTAGTGCCTTACTAGCTGGATTTGATCTGCTTTATTCAGGTCTGAAGTGGGACTGAGGGTGAGGACTTATAGAATGGGCTTCAAACCAAACTGTATTTTGAGATAAAGTCTCATGTTCCACACTGGCCTCTAACTATGTACCTGAAGATGACCTTGAACTTCTGATCCTCCTGCCTGAACTTTGTGAGTAGTAGGATTGCAGGTGTTCAGCACTCCCAGTTTATGTTGTTCTGGAGACAACCCAGAGATTTGTGCATAGTAGGCAAGAACTCTACTCCTTGAGCTCCCTCCCCAGCCCAAGCTGACTTTTTTGAGTAGTAGAATGCATCTGTCACACCTTTGCTTACAGATGAATGGGTGGATCTCAAAAAAAGTCTGTACACTGAGGGTGAAGCAAAGGAAAGCAGTAGCTCCCCAGACAGTCACCAGACACGGAGCAAGGAGCAAAGAAAGGACAAAGGCACTTAATTCTGGCTTGTCTCTACAAGAGTTTACAGAGCAGTTTTATTTTCTGCCTTATTTGGGATCAAGAACAGATTTTATTTAAAAGCACTCTCATCTTCCAGTCTTTGTCATACTGTCTGCAGCATTTGATGCCATAAGACTTTTGAGCCAACAGATTATTACTGAAACATTTCTTTTTTTTCATTTTTGAGACATTTTGAGGCGATGCCGATTGCTAGAAAGGAGTTTCATCAGAAATCTAGGTATCGAACCATGCTTTTCAAATCTTTTATTCTTCCATCAATAGCATTATGCTATTAAGTGGTATTTCAGAGAAGTAGTCATAGATTTTGAACCAAAAAATGAAGAGGAAGGGAATTCTTTCTGACCACTTGAGTTGTCACTGTCGTTTATGCACACTATAAGATAATTTAGCTCCAAGCACAAGAACAGATAGTGAACTTGCCACCAGCTCAGATATAAAGCCTGTGCCTTTCAAATTCCATCAAGGAATTCCTTAGCAAATAGTTTTTTTTTTTTTAACATTAGAAACTATTTGCGGTTGGCAGCTTCTAAAATGGTGATCTCTCTTTGTGATATTCTGCTCTTCCTTAGTCTTATGTCCTTGAAGCTGGACCTAGCCAGAGGTGTTACTTCAGAGATTCAATGGGAGACTAGCTTCTAGCTACCTTGTGCAGTCTTTACTCTTGTGCTTTCTCCTAATTGCATGTTATGAGAAGCTCTGTAGAGAGAACTGTGTGACAAGAAGCAGGGCGATTTCTGTCCACAACACCCTGCAAAGAACTGAATCTGCCAGTAGCTCCGCACTTCACCCAGTGGAGCCTTGGAGTAGCTATAGCCAGTACCTTGCTTGCAGCTTTTGCCTTACTTTACACCCAGGTTACTGAAACCAAAGATATTTGTGTTTAAAACAGCTACTATGCTTAGAACAAAAATTTCTATAGCCATAGATAACTAATGCAAGCTAGAAAGAGAAGGCAGGACAGGTGAGATGGAGCAGTGATTCAGAGCACTTTCCACTCTTGAAGGGGCCCTGGGTTTGGTTCCCAGCACTAACAATCACCCATAACTCCAGTTACAGAGGATCCAACGCCCTCTTCTGGTTTCTACAGGTACCAGACAGGATGGGATGCATGTACATAGATGTAGACACTCACACAAAAATAAATAAATCTCTTTAAAAAGATGGGGAAGGAAATGATATGCCCCAACTCTATTCTTGTAAAAGTAGTTGAGAGAAACCCAACATGATGTTTTCACATGTACAGAGCAGCTCAAAGGAATGTGCCCGTCTCAGTGAATCTGGCAGCATCACAGAAAGCTGGTTGTCTGTCAGATAACCTTTGGGCCATCCTAGTTTCCCTGGCCAGATTAAAAACACCTAAACAGAGGCTGGAGACATTATTCGTCAATTAAGACATGGCCTGCTCTTGCCACGAAGGCCAGAAGAGGGCGTTGGATCCCTGGAACTTGAGTTATGGATGGTTGTGAGGTGTCATGTAGGTGCTGGGACCTGGATGTGCATCCTCTGAAAGAACAACCATTACTCATAACCATTATATTTCTCCAGCCCTTAGATTTAATTTTAATTACATGGCATGTGCGAAAATGTGCTCTTGAGAACAGGTGCCCGCAGAGGTCAAAAGAGGGCATCAGACGCCCTGGAGCTGGAGTTACAGGTTCTGGGAACTAAACTTAGGTCCTCTGCAAGAGCAGTACAGCTGAGCCATCTAGCCCCTGTGTGGTTTGTTTTCAGTGTTTAAATTTCCTTGCTTAATTTTTCCTCCATATTCCTGACTTTCTCTTCCAGCCTATTCATTGTTTAATTCACTTTGGAGCCTGTCTTGTTGAGGTCTTGTATAAATTTCCTTAGTTCACTGATGGGCTTTTGAGACTTCTGTGTGTTCATTAATCATTTTTTTTCTTAGATTTTAATTTTTACATTTTTTAAATGTTACTTACTTTTCTTTTATGTGTATGAGTGTTTTGCCTGCATGTAGATTGGTGCATCTGTGTCATGCAATGCCCACAGAGGTCAGAAGAGGACTTTGAATCTCCTGGAACTGGAATTGTGAACGGTTGTTAGCCACCATGTTGGTTCTGGAAATCAAACCCAGGTCCTCTGGAAGAGCAGCCAGTGCTCTTAACCACTGAGCCATCTCTTCAGCCCCAGTAAAAAAGTAATTTACTTATAATTATGTGCGTGCATGTGTGCCTGCGTGTGTGTGTGTGTGTGTGTGTAGGTATGTACAGGTATGTGCATGTGAGTGCAGGCACCCTTAGACACCAGAAGAGGGCATTAGGTCCCAGAAGCTGGACAGGTATTTGTGAGCTGCCTGACACTGGTACTGGGATCCAAACTCAGGTCCTCTGCAAGAGTAACACATGCTGTTAACCACCAAACTATCTCTCCAAGAGCCCCATCATTCTGAGGGACCTGAATTTCTCTGACACTTCGATACTTCAGCTGTCTTGGTGGTTTGGGCTTACATTATAGGGGAGTTTGGAAGGTGGTAACATGTCAGGGTGGTTGTCTTGCGTTTTATGCATCTGTGGAAATGGATGTGTTTTCCAGTTTTAACTCTTGCCATTTTTCTAGCTGTTTTATGTGAGCCCTTCTAAAGGGAAACTTTACTAAAAAGTACATTTCATACAACTATTCTGAGGAGAGGGCACAGTGGTGGTCCCACTAGTTTACCAGCAGTTCTGATTTTGCTTAGCTGCTGGAGACCCTTTTGCATAGCACTTGTATCCTCCATTAGGATACAGGGCCTGCAGGGTTGGGGTACTAGTTGGAAGAAGGTATGAAGGTATGGTTTATAGATCTTTTGAGGTAGAGGGCAAAAGGAATCAGTGTTTAAGTTGTGGAAAAAAGAAAATGATGAAAGTAGGGGTTCAGTATGAGATGGAAGGTATTAGAGGTTACTCCATTAAGGTCAGTTTTTTGTAGGTATATAAGAGAAAGAGTGATGGAGGTGTGTGTTGGTAATGCAGAGTTAAAATACAATGGGCTGACAATTAATGTACAGAATTATAGGTAACTTTAGAAAAATAACCAATTAGAGAAATAGGGCTGGAGAGATGGCTCCTCGGTTAAGTGCTCTTGTTGCTCTTCCAAGGACTTGAATTTAGTTCCCAGCTTTCACATGGGAGCACACAACACCAGCTCCAGCCCCAGCTCCAACTCCAGCAGGTCCAATAGTCTCTTCTGAGTCACACATATGCACATATACACACAGATGTACATAACACATTATATATGTGTAATCTTTAGGGTCTGGCATGGTGGTGCAAGCCTTTAATCCCAGCACTCTGGAAGCAGACACAGGCAGATCTCTGAATTTGATGCCAGCTTGGTCTATATAGTAAGTTCCAGGCCAGCCAGGACTACATAGTGAGAGCCTGACTCAAAGAGAAATTTAATTACTGAAATGTTAAAATCAATAAGACTGCACAAAGCATAAGAA